ACTTGACAGCACATAATAACATGGACAATACAGAACTATAGATGCAAGGAATGCGGAATTCAGAGGGCAAGAGTTAAAAAATTGTTAAGTACTGAAAAATTTTAAAAAAGGTAAATATCTTAAGCTGAAGAATACTGAAGGGATTCTGTGAGCAAAATATTAAATAATTCAGGAAGCATCAAAAGAACATGGAAGGAATACACAAGAGTCACTGTACAAAAAAAAAAAAAATTAGTCCACACTGAACCATTTCAGGAAGTAACGTGATCAAGGATCAGTAGTACTGAAGAAAGTAATCCAAGTGGCATGAAGGCATTGGCAAAAAACAAGAATACCCCAGGAATTAGTAGAAAAACAATTGATGTGTTTCATCAAATAAAGGTAGCCTTATATTTGCTCACTGACTAGTCTATGCTAAGAAATTTGGAAGCAAACTACTGGCCAACCAACTGGAAGAGATCTATATTTGTTCCCCTTAAAAAAAAAAAAGTTGATCCAAGAGTATAGACATGATCAGACAACATCATTAATATCACATGCAAGTAAAATATTGCTGAAGATTATGAAAATGACTAGAATAATACATTGATGGGGAACTTCTAGAATTCACCTGGATTCAGAATAGGCTGTGGAACAAGAGAGATTGTTACTGATAGCAGATGGCATTTGATGAAAGACAGAGAATACCAGAAGGATACAGATGTGTGTTTACTTGTGTTTTACTGCTTGTGTACTGATTATGCAAATATATTTGACTATGTGAATAATAACAAATTACGGGTAACATTGAGAAGAATGAAACTCTCAGAACACTTAATTGTGCTCATGCAAAACCTACACTTAGACCTAGAGGCAGTTACTGGAATAGAACAAGGAAACATTATATAGTTTAAAATCAGAAAAAGTGTGTGCCAGGGTTTTATCCTTTCCCCATACTTATTCAATCTGTATGTTGAGCAAATCATTTGAGAAGCTGCTCTATATGAAGAATGTTGCATGAAGATTGGAGGGCAACTCATCACCAGCTTGTGAAATGCAGATAGCATATAACCTTGCATACACAAAGTGAAGAAGACTTGAAGCATTTACTGTAGAAGATCAAAGATGATAGTCTTCAATATGAGTTACATTTCAACATTAAGAAAACACAAATCCTCACCATGGTACCAAAAGGCAACATTATAGTAGATGAAGAAAAGAGTGAAATTGTCAAACAATTTCATGTTACTTGACTCCACATTTAACAAGTATGGTAAGAGCAGTGATGAAATCAAAAGATGTTTTGCAATGGGGAGATCTGCTGTCACAGACTTCTTTTAAGTTCTAAAGAGCAAAGATGTCAGTTTGAAGAATAAGATATGCCTCATTAAAGGCCAGGATTAGTAGTCTCCTGCTGTGTGATTAACTGCCTCTGAAAACCCATCTGAGGGTCAGCTATGGGTCGGTTCTGACTCTATAGTATACAACAATAATCAAAGCTATGATATTTCCAGTTCCTTTGTATGGATCTGAAAGTTGGACATTGAATATAGAAAGCAGAAGAAGAATTAGTAACTTTGAAGTGTGGTGTTGAAGAGTATTGAATCTACCTGGTACAGCCATAATGAAAAATCTCTCTCAGAGGAAGTGCAACCAGGGGGCTCCTTAGAGGCAAGGATGTTAAAACTTCATCTTGCATAATTTGGGCATGTTGTCAGGAGGCTCCAGTCTTTGGAAAATAACAGTGTGCTGGAAAAAGTAGAAAGTCATAGAAAGAAAAGAAGATTCTCAAGCATATGGATTAACACAGAGACTCTAACATTGGACTTGAGCTTGTTGGAGAAGTGATGATGGTGTAGGACAGGGCACGGTTCACATCTGTTGTTCATAGAGTCACTATGAGTCACAGTCAACTCCATGACATTTCCAAACAATACTATTATCTTAGGTTGGGTTCTCTAAAGAAGCAAAACCAATGAAAAATTTGTCTCTCTCTCTCTCTTTTTATATATAGTGAGTAGAGATTTGCACTACCAACCCAAAGGTGGTTGATTTGAATCCAATAGCTATCAAAGGGAGAATGATGTAGTCTTCCTCTGTGAGATTTATAGCTTCTGAAAACTGAACTATGAACGAACAGGCTGGTCTCACAAATCCACGAGAAGAGTGGCTAATCTTGCCATTCAGTTCAGCAGATCCAGCCCCAGAATTAGGGAACATCACCACCAGCAGAGAAGCAGTAGAATGCAGTGCTCCTTTCAGGCCACAGATTCTTCCATCAGTTAGACTAAGGTTTACGAGAGCAGCAACATAACCAGAGACATGACATGAGAGAGAGTGGACCTTGAAACTGCTGCCTCATGGAACTAGAACTAGGAGCCTTTGCTTAAATTTACTGGACACCTGGGGAGGGATGTGGGAGAGCCATAACTGGTAGGACTGAGAGCTTTGTAATACTGGCGTAGAGCTGCCAGACTATAGGTTGAGGTACCTGGAAACATATTTCAGAAGCCGTCCTGACTGATTGTATCTTGCTACCACTGTAATTATAGCCTTTTGACTTCCCTAATACGATTTTCTGTGGTCTATGAGCTGTCTTATCAGATTTTGGACCCAGTAGATTTTTGTTGGGATGAGTATAAAGAGTTGTAGAAGCTCAAGGGATGAGTCTGACATCATGAGAATTGGTTTTATGCTGTTGATTTTGTTGATAGGGACATTGCCCCTTCGTTGAGTTGGTAAAGGTCAGATAAGACCCTACACCATCCTTGATCTTTTTTTATACTCCTTCCTAGAAAAACTCCTGACCCATTTGGCTTCATGGGTGAATCCAACCAAACATTTAGAGCTGAAATATCAACAGTTATACTTAAATTGTTTTTAAAAATAGAAAAAGAATGAATAGTCCCAGAATCATTCTATGAAGCAAGCATAAACCTCATATTAAAACCAGATGGTTACATCCCCCCAAAAAAGCCAATTAATAGATCAGTATCTCTCATGAACATAGGTACAAAAATCTTTAACAAAATCCTGGCCAATAGAATCCAACAAAAAACCAACCAAAACATCATGGCCAAGTGGATTCTTAACAGGAATGCAGGGATAGTTTAACAGAAGAAAAACAAGTATAATTCATCACATTTACAAAGCAAACAATGAGAAGCACATTACTTAAATAACAACTTTGTAAAATACTGTACACCTTGAGAAAGACTAGTGTTATGGTTGAGTGAAATCTCTCACTTGCATAAGGACAAATTTATAAGTCCGCAACTTCATTAGGCCACTATTATGTTAATAGAAGGGTAAATGATCAAGATATGTTCAGATGTTCAGTGTGGGAAAGGGAGAAGCAGGGACAGAATCAAGGGAATGGGGGAAATAACTTTAATACAGAGATTGGTGGTTGGAGGAGGGTGAAGGATTGGGTAGTGTTCAATGAAGACTTGAAAAGACGGGATAATAGGCATAGAGCAATGGCAAGTAATTATACAAACTGTAATACACATGCATATGAATGTATAAAACACAAGGGACATGGATGAAACACAACAATGAATGATTATATAAAACACAAAATACATGTACAAAACACAATACATATGAATGATTATATATAGATGACAGAAGAAGAATTGATGCCTTTTGTTGCCTTTGAGTTATGGTATTCGAAAAGAGTATTGAACATTGACTGCCAGGAGAACAAACAGGTTCATCCTAGAGAAGGTGAAACCGGTCTGTTGCTTGGAGGCAAGGATTTTAAAGCTCTGCTTCACATACTTTGGACATGTGGCCAGGAGGGATTAGTCCCTGGACAAGGATATCATGCTTGGAGTGGTGAAAAGAACAGAGCAGGAGAGGAAGACCCCAGACGAGATGGATTGACTCAGTAACTAGGGTAGTGGGGCTTGATGTGGTGGAGATAGACTGTCTCAGGATAGAGTAGAGTTCAGAGCTATTATACATAGGGACATGATGAGTCACAGGTGACTTTTTGGCACAGAAAACAATAAAATATTTTTAAAAAGATGGAATACAAAGTCATTATATTAAAAAGAAATGGCCAACAATGAACCTTTTCAGGAAGTAGCATGTGATCAAGAACCAGTGGTACTGAAAGAAAATATTTAAGCTGCACTTGATGGCATTGACAAAAAAATAAAGCTCCAGGAATTGACAGAGTATCAACTGAGGTGTTACTGCAGGTGAATCTGGACATGTGCTCTTTTGTCTTGGCCAAGAAATTTAGAAGACTGGTAAACTGTAAGGTAAAAGGTTTAGTAGTTGCTGTGAATTCAGGAGTTGTTAAGCAGTTTAATGGCAATGAAAATGTGTTGCATGATCATAATGGTAATACATGGTATTATGCATTTGCCAAAATGCATAGAATTATAGTATATAAAAATGAACTATCATATAAATTGTGTACTTTAATTAATAGTAGTGTATCAGCAGTGCTTATAAGGGAATTCTGGTGGCTAAGTAGTAAGAAGCTGTGCTGCAGTCCTGAAGGCGCACTTCAAATCCACCAGCTTCTCTGTGGGAGAAGGATGGGCAGTCTCCTCCCCTGTGATTAACTGACTTTGGAAACCTTCTGGAGGGTCAGCTATGGGTCAGTTCCAACTCAACAGTACACAACAACAAGCCGTGCTTTATTATTTGTAAAAAAACTCAGAACATACCACATTAATGTAAGCTTTCAGTAATACAAGGAACTACCAAATGGATATGGAAATATTTCTGTAAATCTAAAATGCTCTAAAAATAGAGTATATAATTAAAAAGAATTACAATGGTAACTAATTATACAGAGTACATTAAAACTATTAAATAAAATTATGATATACTCATTAGCTGGATAAGAAAATCCTCATATACTGCTGCATATAGTACAAGTTTCATTAATTATTTGAAGGAGAAAATCATTGTTTAAATATATTACAAAGGATTACATTTCAGACCTTTTTTTTAACCTTTTTCTTTAAAATCATTAAGCAGAATTATTTTCTACTTTTCAGTGCTTTTGTTCCATTGAGTGTTCCCAGTAACAAAAATTCTACAGAGTGGGAAAAAGTTAAATTCTTGTTTGAAGAACTTGGAAGTAGTCGTAAGTATACTTTAAAAACACAAGAACACATTTATAGTTACATTTAAGAATCATTGACAGTTTTTTCATAACTTACCTATTTTTATTTTGAAAGTTTACTGCTCTTTTTAATTTATGAACAAATTTAACTCTGGACAAATTATGAGCTTTGTGTTCTTAATGCACACTTAGAGCTGACTAACTGTATGTAGCTCATTTATTCACTTTTCCATAAAGTACTTGTGTTGAAAGTGAAAGTGAAATATAATAATTTGTTTTTAAAGTGATTTTTAAATTAAGATCTTATAATTTCTATAAGTCTTAAATTAGTTTCGGATATGTAGAGGAATATGTTAAAAAATGTTCTAGGCATATTGGTTTTAATTTTTAGAAAATAAGTGATAACTCAATATTGCTGCTTGAGATGAAGTAATATTTTCTGATAAATATATAGTTGAGGTTTTATTTCAGTTGTATATTATCTTAGTTATATCTTAACAAAATGGTTTAGAATTGAATTTTTACAGGATTTTTTTTTTTCATTTAATGAATATGACTTAGATTTTTAGAGGGATTGGGAAATGAATAGGTTCATGTTGTTAGTTCAAGAAAAATGGGTAAACATTTTATCTTACCTAGTAATCTTATGAGAGAGATGCCATAAATGGGTAGATTTAACAAACTGTAATTTGCTTGTATTGTCTAGGAAGTTAGAATTCACTGTAAGGGCTCTGAGAGGGAGTTTCTTTGCCTTTTGGGGAAAGGTACTTATCTCTTCAGATTTTGTCTCCTGGTTCCTTCTCTCTTCCATCGGACTTGACATCTATCTTCCTACATCTCTACTTACTTAATCTACTCCTTTTATATATCTTGTAAGTAATTGACTCAAGACACAGAGTACACTAATCAGACCTCATAGCATGACAAAGACACTCCTTTTCCAAATGGGATTATAATTGCTGACACAGAAGCTAAGATTTACAATACCTATTTTGGGGACCACAATTCAGTTCCATAATACAATTAAAAAGGAGTCAAATAAGAATTGTGTATAATTTTATTCTACATTTAATATTCTTTTGAGATTGCAGCACAGCTTGTCACCACTAGGCCACCAGAGCTCCCTTCTACATTTAATATTCTTTTAAATATTATAATTACATATTTTAAAGAAACTTATAATGTGTACCTTATAAATACTGTGAAGAAAATTTAATTGCTTTCGTGTGTATTCTATTAAATATTGTACATACATACTTAGATCATCACTTTTTTCTATTTACCCAGTTACAGTGTGAAATGATTAAGTCTTAAGAGTTTTTGCTCTTTGTATAAATTCTTAATTTTTTTTCTTTCTGCTGAAGATTTCATCTAGTAAATTGCAAGCAATTAATAACTTGCTGATAGTAGCAAGAATAAGGATAAAAGAGCTGCCATCTACTAATACTGAGTTGTCAGGCTTTAGTCATTTAATCCTATTACTGAGAAATAAATTGCTTCTCTCATTGCATTTAACTCTAGAGTTTCTTGAGGAACTACTCTTCTACTCTAAATGTTATTTTATAAATTATACTAGTATTTTGATTATTAGTATACCTTCAATAAGTTGTAAGTGGCATTATTCTAATTTCACTTTTCAGTCTTTTTGATTATTATTTCAAGTTTTAAGCAGTTTATTATTTTAAGAATTCTTAATTCATAGCATATAATATGTTGGACTAATGGTTCGACTGTGGTTCAAATCTTCCAGGAGTTTCAGGGGAGAAAGATGGAAAGTCTCTTCTCATAAATATAGAGAGCCCAAGAATACAGTAAAGGGCTACTGTAAGTCAGCATCAGCTTTTTAGCAGTGGGTTTGGATTGTCATTGTTGTTAGTACCGTTGAGTAATCTATGACTCACTAGTGACTGTATGAACAACATCTGAACCTTGCCCTATCCTGTACCATCCTCATGGTCTCTTTCATGCTCTAGCCCATTGTGGTAGTCATTTCACCATTCCATCTCATTGAAGTATTTGGATTATATAATTTTAAATAGTACCTTTTACTTATGTCTCTGATAATTTTTATTTTTTCATTTCAAAACATTCACCAAACTGCTCTTAAGTTATAGTATTATTTGTAGTTTTTGGTTACCAAGGTTGTCCAACCTATTTTAAAGATAGTAATTTAATAATGTGAATGGACCTTAAGTATATATTTGGGGGAAAAGCTAAATAAAGGAGAACTTATTTGGTATGCCAGAAACTGAAGAAAATTAAAAACATATTTAAACCTTGATTTTCAAAACTTAGAAATGCTCTGGGCAAAATCTTGAATGATCCAGAAAACATCAAAAGAAGATAGAGGAGTATACACAGAATTACTGTACCAAAAAGAATTGGCTGACGTTGATAGATTTCAGGAAGTACAATATGATCAAGAGCCAATTGTAAGAAAGAAAGAAATTCAAGTTGCATTGAAAGCTTAGCAAAAAATAAGGCCCCAGGAATCATTGTATATCATTTGACATGTTTCAAATGATAGATGCAGCCTTGGATGTTCTCACCCTTCTATGCAAGGAAATTTGGAGGATACTGCCTTGAATGACTGACTGGAAGAGATCCATATATGTTTTCATTCCCAAGAAAGGTGATCCAGCAGAATGTGGAAATTATTGAACAATATCATTAACATAACATACAAGCAAAATACTGCATAAGATCATTTAATACATATATAGACAGAACTTCCAGGAGTTCAAGCTGGGTTTACAAGAGTCCATAGCATTGCTTATGTCAGATTAATTCTAGCTGAAAGCAAAGAATATCAGAAGAATGCCTTATTTGTGTCTTATTTAGTATGCAAAAGCATTTGACTATGTGGATTGTAACAGATTATGACTAATATTGAGAGGAATGGGAATCCCAGAATATATATTTGTGCTCATGCTAAACCTTAACCTAGACCAAGAAGCTGTTGTGTGAACAGAGAAATGCTATATGATTTAAAATTAAGAAAGGCTTGTGTCAGGGTTGTAGCCTTTCTCTGTACCTTTTCAATCTAAATGCTGGAAAAATTATTCAAGAAGCTGGACTTTTAAGAAGAATATTCATATTGGAGGAGACAGGAGTATTAGAGGAGCACTCATCTGTAACCTTCATTTTGCAACTGACACAACCTTGCTTGCTGAAAATGAGCAGATCATGAAACACTTGCTGCAGAAGATCAAATACTGCAGCTTTCACTAAAAATTGGGTCACAATGCCAAGAAAACCAAAATTCTCACCAATGGACATGATAGATGGAGAAAAGATTGAAGTTGTTAAAGACTTCATCTTACTTTGTACCAGCAGTCAGGAGGTCAGGAGGCATATTGAACTGGGAAAGACTGTAGTCAGGGACCTCTCCAAATTATTGAGGACGGTGATGTTAATTTGAGGACTAACATGCGCCTGATTCAAACCATGGTCTTTTCAGTCACTTGCTGTACATTTAAGAACTGGACAGTGAATAAGAATGATAGGAGAATTGATGCTATTGAACTGTGGTGTTGGAGAAGAGTGCTGAGTATCCCATGGACTACCAAAAGAACAGATACATCTTAGAAAAGGTGCAGCTAGAGTGCTCCATGGAGGCAAGGAAGACAAAGCTTCGTATCACATATTTTGGGCCTTTTGCTAGGAGAGTCTGTTCCTTGGAAGAGGACATCATACTTGAAAAGGTAGAGGGAAGGCAAAGCCAGAGGAAGACCCTCAGCTAAGTGGATTCACACAGAGACTGTAGCACTGGACTTGAGTATGTCTGTGATTGTGAGGACAGCACAGGAAAAGATAAGAGTTTAAACCTATTGTTACAAGTCATACTTGATAGCACCTAACAATAACATCAGCATTATATCCCCCCCAAGAAATCAAATGATTTATTCCATTAGACAAACCTATTACCATGGACCTTTCTTTTTTCTTTTAAAGGCCCTACATTCTTTTTATTTTTTTATT